ACATGTCCGATCCATGGTATCCTCAGCATCCTTCTGTAGTATCCCATTTCTGTTGCATGGTGGCTCTTCTTCATCTGAGACGGGATTGTTTATCATTCACTGCCATATAAGAGGACTTATACTCCATAACAGGTCAATATTCTTTGTTTTTAACGAAATTTTCCTGTTTATTAATACTTTGCTTAGATTTTAGAAGGCATCTTTCTCTATGTCAATGCGTCTTTGGATTTCAGTCGCTCACTTTCGCTCCTCTGTTAAAACACTTCCCAGATACTTAAATTGTTGTACTTGTTTGATTTTCGTATCTTCTATTTGTAATTTTCATGTTGGCAACAGCCATGCATTCTATCTTCTTGCAATCTATGTTTAGTCCTTTCTTCCCAATTTCGTTCTGTAGGAGTTCTTGCAGTTTCCATTTTGTTTTTGCTAGTAAAATTATGCCATCTGCATATCTTATATTGTTAACATTGTAGCCGCGAATAATGAATCCTGGTAGGAATTCTAATTCTCTCTTAATTGCTTCACTGTATAGGTTTAATAAGTCCAGTGAGAAGATACATCCTTGTCTTACACCTCTTTATGCTTTGGTAAGAAAATCTTATCAATAATAAAAAGAGCGATAACTGTATTTAAGAATTCTATTTTACTGAAAATGAGTGTGATTCAACACCGAAGAAATAGCATGACGTTTCCTAGCAGTAAGAGTTTGAAATGGTGGAACCGAAAAATGAAGCTTGTCCGAACCATTACTATGTTAATAGCGACAGAATATTGATAGGCGTTCCACATTGCTTCTATGCTAACCTTCACTGATTCTAATTTCTACAAAAGCATTACTCTTTCTCTAGAGCAGTGGTTCTTAACATTTTTTTACCCATGAACCATTTTTACTCTTATTTTTTTTACCATTCAATGTAAAAAAAAAAATTCTTTTTATTTTATTATTTTTAACTAATAGATAATTTTAGGAATTTTATTATAGAAATAATAAATGTATATGCGTTATTTTGAAGTAAAACTAGTTTTCTTTTTATATTTGGCTCCATTAATATCAATGATAGTCGACCATCACACTTTTCACAATGTCGGGTCTATTACTATATTAATTAATTTATATTCATATATTAATATTTTATTTTGTTAATACTTTAGATTAATATTATTATTTATTATTAATATATTAAATTAATTTATATAATAAATTTAAAACTTTATATAATTTTTATTTATATATATAATAATTCCGTTATAGATCCTTTTCAGTTTTTATTCAACTTTTACAATTAAATCATTCGGTAGAGCAAAAGTGACGGAAACTTATTTCGCTTAATCTCTTTATCTGCTAGTTTTAGAGATTTTTTTTTTATTTTTATTTTTTTGATATGGCGTAGATTACTGTGGAAATTCCAATTCTCAGTTTTAACAACCGTTCTGGAATGAAATTGCTCTATGGACTATTAAAATATTACCGTTGCCTCCCAATTTGTTATTTTTGTGTGGAGACCCCAGGTAATATTACATGGAGACGCAGGGTGTATATGGACCCCGGTTGAGAACCAGTGTTCCCTGGGATCAAACTTCATGTGATACTTTCACCGTAAGTCTTTTTTAATTTATATGAATCATTTTGGATCGGGAAAGTAGAAAGAAATGTCCAGCAAAGATTCTAAAAAGATTTGCTTTGTGTTTTCAATACAAACTGGTCGCATATCCCAGAAGAAATGACACCAGATCTGATAAATTCGATGCTAGAAATTGTAAAAATTAAAATCTATTTGTATTATATCGACGTAATTTTATTTTATTTTTTTACATTTTAATTACATCTAAGTTAGATTACGTTTAAACGAGTTAGATGTATCGATTTTCAAATTCAGGCATCAGAATAATATCAAGTTACACATGAAAACAACGCAATCAATAAAAGAAAGATATAGAATTTAAAACCTGAAGTTTAACAATGGATCATTATGAATTTTCAGATAAAACTGTATACGGAAAAATGTTAAATCTATGAAGATTTCCTTCACATTCCTTATTCAATTTTTTTCTGGATTTAATATTTGAGGGATATAAATGTACCATAAACATCGTAGTATTGCCTTTAAATATTAAGCAAATTTAAACACTTCTCTTTTTAATTAACAAAATAATTTGGGATAGGAAAAAAAGCGTCACTTGATTTTGTTATGAAAATTGAAAGTGAAGAAAATTGTGGTTAAATCCAAAACAACTTTATATATTTCATCCTATATAACAAAATTATTAGAACCCGAGTAAATCATCTGTGCAACGATACAGTGATCGATCGACCTGTTGCAATGAAGCAGGAAGAGGGAACTTGGACTTTTTCTGAATTGTAATGTAGCAAATTCGATACAGCAAACAAACATGTAATGGATTTTCTTCCTTGAATAGATTTTTCCCATATGTGTTGTATAGTCCCAAATTGTCATCTTAGGGCGGTCAGTTGTTTTACCACATGCAACAATTCAAATGGGTGAAAAATCCTCGAGTAATGCATTGAATAAAAAGTGAAATAATTTTTTAATGATCAAACAAATAAGTATTGGTAAGTAGGTCGGATCAAGAACTTTTCGGCAACCATCTGCATGAAAGAATGAACAAAGAATTCAACAAAAATATATCCGAAAATATGTCATAAATTTATACGAATTTCATACATCGAAATAACTTATTTAGTTTTGCTATTATTCTCTTTCCTACAGCCTACATTGTAGTTTCTTTTAATTATCCCCCCCCCAGCAAGGCAATAAATTAATACAGTAACAAGAGGTTACTGAGTGTTAGAGAATATAAAAAAACACTATTCAGGAGAGAGAACAATTAATGAAAAAGAATGAAGAAGACACAAGCTATCGATTGACATTGCATTTAAAATTTTAAGGTCGAAAGTTACTGGGACGCAAGAAGCCGAAGAAAATTTCACAAGCGAGAGGTGCGATAGAATAAACCTTTTGCATAGAACTTCCGATTAAGTTTAGTCATTTCAATTGTAAAATGATGAAATATTACCGCTAATCTAATACTGCGTATAAATTCATAAAGTCTAAGTACGATAGAGTAAAGTTCACCAGAACAATTGCTATGATAGCATTGACAGAAAAGGCACAGGGAAGCTACGTTACGGCGATAGGGAAAGTGACTGAAGCTGTGATGCCATGTCATGACCAATAGATTTGCAGATTCTTATTTGGATATTATCAAGAATCTGTAAATATATAGTAGGTTCACCAGAGCAGTGGCAGCAATATTCAAAGTAAGGACAAATGGTAGACTTGTAAGGTAGATTAGGACGAAATAAATTGTCTAGCACGACTCAATGAACCAACTTTCCTGGCAGCAGACCAATATAATCTTTCCATTTCATGTTACCGAGAAGGTGTAATAAGTCACTCTCCTCGAGGTTAGCATCAGCCATAATGATGGGATTTAAAAACGGTTCTCTCAGGCGATTAAAAGAGAGTAATTTTGTTATGGAGTTGTTAGAATTAACAAACCATTCCTTATTTACACTATTTATATTCGGACTATTGTCCATATCTTTGTTGTTTTTATCACAACGTTTAAGCCGTTGTGCCCTTTAGCCTTTCTGCATATTCTGTATATATACTTTATTTCACAGATTTGATGAAGTGAAAATACTGGACAAGGAAGAACAATGGAGAGTTAGACGTTTGAAATAATCAGCGTATATGCAAGGCTATGAGTTCCTCCTTAGTAGGCCTAGTATAGAAATAAATACAAGAACGGTATCGTTAATAAAGAAAGGAAATGACAGCAAGTCTTCAACCACAGAAGCAGTAATAAAAAAAAAGACGTGCAGCAGCAGCAGTCGGAATATACCAGTCAGTAGCAGCTGCAATAGCAGCAGCAGTGGCAGCCTAATCAGTAAATGTTAAGTTTAAAGCTCTCAGTTTATTCCAGTGAAAAAGTTGCTTTGTGAATTTGTTTACATAGTGATTGTGAGTTCAATCCCAGTGTCGTGCAGTGTGTACTTGCAATAACTGAACATCGCTAAATAAAATAAGAACTAAACGATATCCCTTGACAAGGGGAGTGGAACGAGAACAGTCTACCCCCATAGATTAAATAAAGGGTTCATTTCGGAATTCCCTGTAGGTTACCCAGATTGATATACACCCGAGGAAGACCAGAAGGCAAACGACCAAAATGAGGGCAATAGTCTGAATATAAAGAGTGTAAATCGTGATAACTCTTCATTCCCAGAAATTCTGACAGAGTCATTGTTTACTCTGCTTAACAGTAGATTGCAAACCATTTTTGAGATTAACTGCCAATTTGGCATTATCGTAAATATCCTATAAATACCACCTTTTTTAAAGCCAGGTTTTAAACGAAAAAAACAAAAAAAACAATATAACTTCTTGAAATATTTGTTTATTCTTTAAATATCTAAATTGCACAAGTTGTTCCACTTTAGTATTTATCATAACGAATATCGCGTCCTTTCTTCTTATTCATTTAAATATTGATATTCTGCGATTTATTTGCAGTAGTTTTCGTAGTTTCTGTCTGAGCAAACCTGAATGAACTCACAATTCAATACACTCTGCGTTTGGTGATCGACTCTATTCAACAATTATAGCAGTATCAATCACTTCTGAGTTCGGCACCGTTTTCAGTCAACAAGAATATATAGGTCCCAAGCGAAGCATATTTCCGCCTGCCTCCAGCTCAAGCCCAATGATATATCTTCCACGCAGAGCTTTGTGTTATATTCCAGTGTCCTGATTTCCTCAAGTAGAATCCATTCTTTCACAGCTTAGCTAATTCCCTGCAGTCCTTCATGCCAACATCTTATGCAACCCGTGGCGTTGTGAAGGGGTCAGATTTATAGTTTTACTTCTTCTGTAGATTTTATGACAGGCCTGAATATTTAGATTGCTGGGTTGATCCTTGCAACCTTCATTATCTAGTCTGTGTGAATATATGCTCAGTAAAAAAGCATTTTTAAGGTAAAACATGGTCATATATCTATCTATCTATCTATCTATCTATCTATCTATCTATGAAGAGATAAGCTAGATAGTGGTGTGGTGTAATGGATAACGAATCAACATAAGATATCGAAGCGCCAAGATAGAATTCCACTCGGATTTGATATATTCACTTGGCATATGTGAAATCTATGCGATGAATAGCAGGATAACCTGGGTCGTATAGCCTTGGTTGGCAACCAGTATTCCGCAGAAAGAAATGGCAGCCTACTGTTGCAAAATATTCTGCCTAGTCAGTCATCAATCGAATGAGACCTGATTGTCCAAGCGTATATCTCGTATGGCACTTAACTGGCTGATATATGTTTAATATTTGCTATATTTATCGAGGAAAAGGTTTCAGTATCAGAGTAGCGTTTGCAGACAGAGACAATGTGGATATGTGAATAAACACTAGATAGTGACAGTAGTATGTATATGTGTCATATATATATATATATATATATATATATATATATATATATATATATAGTATTACACAACAAAATACAAAATTACTTCATATGTAGTAGGGATAGATCTATTCAACCGAAGGAAACTACATCAGTCTTATTCAATCCCGGCGTACAGACTCTCTCTCTCACTCTCTCTCTCTCTCTCTCTCTGTCTGTCTGTCTCTCTCTCTCTCTCTCTCTATATATATATATATATATATATATATATATATAAAGTGTTTGTGCTTGTGTATACGAGAGGTGATTGAAAGGAAGTCCTTATCCGAAACTTCAGATGATTGATCATTTGGTAATTTTTTTGCAAGCGAGTCGGGCCAACAACATTTTAGAACATCTTAATTCATATATACCTAAATATGTATGCGCATATACACATCTAAATAATTATAGCATACAAAAAATTATACAGACACGACACACATATATATATATATATATATATATATATATATATATATATATATATATATATATATATATATATATATATCTTATAAATTTACTAATTTAAAATTTGGTTGCATCGCTAAACAGGAATTACTATGTTTCAAAAATAGAAACTAAACCTTTAATTTAATTATAGAATTAAATTTAAAATAATTTGCAAGAACATCGGATTATTTATAAATCTTACTGTTCTTCATCATTATTTTAATATATATATGTATATATATATATATATATATATATATATATATATGTGTGTGTGTGCGCGCGCGCGCGTCTGTTTGTGTGTATATATGTGTTTCTGTGTATAATTATCGCTTTAAATAGAACTGATATCTACATTTTAATACTAAAGAACGAGAGAAAATATTTTATGGACCTTTCGGCCAACCCTCCTTCAGAGAAAAAATCGTTAGCGAAACAATTATTATTTTTTAACACCAACAACGAAATACAATTTAACGGATTAAATGGGAGAACAATAATGGCGCACGATTAAAACATAAAAATAGTTTTAATCAAAGGTAGAAAATCAAATATATTTTCCTCCCTTTTTCTTAGCATTAAATTGATAGTTATTTTTTAGTATCAAATAGGTGGATAGTGGTCAAAACCTACTGCCGACGATATATTTGTGAAAAATACAAAACATGTAAAAAAAAAAAAAAAAATTTGTGCGATACTTTTTGTCCTTTGTAACACATTATCGGATTTTTCCAATTTGCCATATTTTTCGCTAAATATTAATGATATATAAAAATGTATATATCGTTTTCCCTAACGAAATATTAACAACAGTATCATATTTTTAGATGCAATGTAATGTATTGTGACGTCTTAGAACTGCATCATGAATTTACGACCTGCATTTCTTATTCAACACATAGCAACTTCTATGTAAACATAACAGGATATAATACTTGATGATGAATATCTTTGTTGAAATATCTATATAAGCACTCTGATGATGGCTGATGTGAGTTGAAAGCTTACATCGAGGAACAGCATAATAAAAATATTCAAATGTTGAACAGTTTTGTCTTTATTTTCTCCCGAAATTAAAACCACTATGCAAAGCTTAGAATAGCTCATGATGAAACGAGATATTCGTTGTCTGTTATATTTAACAATACATTGATTAGTTCAATTGTAATATCATTATATGCCCAACATCTTGAATATTGATCTGCTTCCCCATTACAATATATATATATATATATATATATATATATATATATATATATATATATATATTATTATTATTATTATTATTATTATTATTATTATTATTATTATCCTACTTATTATAAAACGCAGATTTGTGTGTGTGTGTCGTTTATATATTGGATCGGATTTCCTACATTTTCAACCGATTTCAACAAAACTTCACAGGACTACATAAAATTACCTTGTGGTGTTTTCTAACAGCATAAAAATGGGAAAAAATATAATTGTTTTTGCACAAAATCAATTTGAAAAACACGATTAAGAGACATCATGAAATGAAGGGGGACAACTCACATCGGGTTGTTTGTGTGTGTGGGTTCCTTTAGATATGGGAGCGGATTTCCTATATTTTTCAGCCGATAAAACAAAACTTCACTTTTTTTTTTTTTTTGGCAGGTAGTGTTTCTTATTCTCTTACACACTTTTTTCTTTATTTTTAATATTCACAATGCTTTAAAAATTCCATTTACAAGACAATTATTTATATTAAAATTCTATTCATTTGGGAGACTCATAACGATTGAAAACAATGTTTTTGTTTGAGTTTGGGTTTGACCAATTCCTAAAAAAAAAAAAAAAAAAACTAATTAAGACATGCGTGTCCGTCAACCTTAAAGAATATTCTAACGATCTCTACTGATTGTACGAATACAAACAAAAGATAATGAAATCTAAACATACACAAGTCCTAACTAAAAATAATAACCGGAACGGGAAACTACTTTAAATACACATGGTGTCCAATTTTTTTACTGTATTCAATAAGTAAAAATCATAAATTGTAAAATATTATTATTACAGAAAGGCTACTAAATGAATGAGATTTGTTAGATCATAATTAATAAACCCAAATAAAGTTAATATTTTTCATATTAGAAACAACGAGTGGAAAATATATTCAAATCAGAATTCTAATTATGAATCACCACAAGCAAAATATGCAATTTTTTTACTGTATTCAATAAGTAAAAATCATAAATTGTAAAACTAAAAGATTACAGAAAGGCTACCTAGATTTTTCAACCGATTTCAACAAAACTTCACTTTTCTTTTGGCATGTAGTGTTTCTTATTGTCTTGCACACTTTTTTCTTTATTTTTACATTCAGAATGCTTTAAAAATTCCATTTACAAGACAATTGTTTATAATAAAATTCTATTCAATCGGTAGAGACTCATAACGATTGAAAACAATGTTTTTGTTTGAGTTTGGGTTTGACCAATTCGTAAAAAAAAACCAACTAATTCAGACATGCGTGTCCGTCAACCTTAAACAATAATCTTTGTCAATTTTATTTTTCAGTCTTTATGATGGTGGATACTTGATCTATCTCTTACTGTTATATCCCCGTGCAACGCCGGGCTCTACTGCTAGTTATTATTAAATTCAACCGACATGTTCTCTCAGTTGACTATTTAATTGTATTTTACCAAGTTTCGAATAAGATTATCAAGATATCAAAATTTCAGTTGTGGAAAAATCCTTTTTTTTTAGACAACGAATATTTTTCATCATCATCCACTTGTTTTACAATGGGGTTTATTCATTATCGAATATTAATCACCTCGGTCGAATATTATACTGTGTAATGTTAAGTTCCAAGTTCAGCGAATAACTACATGTCAATTTTCAGATTTATTGAGGCTTTCTAGTATATAATCTCTTTATTAAGCTTTCTCGAGTATGGAAGCCGGTAGACGAAATAAAAAACTGTTTTAAAGTAAACAGGGTGTCTACTCAGATACGGGTATACACTAATAATAATGTTTGAAGTAACATATATGTTTCTATATGGTATATTACAAAGGAGTATTTTGAGTAATATGTATTCGAGACTTGAACATGTTCGTAAAAGTATTCATTGCTTGTATGAATGTTTTATACGACCGTGCCTTTTTGTTTAGTAATATATTTCAAAATCCAAAAACATACACAGAAATTAGATGTTGTGCATATAATGATATTACAATTGAACTAATCAATAATGATAAATAAAAATATAAAACATATCCTGTATATTTGCATGCACATAAAATTTTTTTTTGTCGTTAATATATATATATATATATATATATATATATATATATATATATATATATATATATTTACATATAATAGTAAATCATTTCTTAATGTATATACTTTTCATTTAGTATCTGAGACGAGTGTTTATTTGAGAGCTTACATCACTCTTCCTTTGTTCTCTCTCTCTCTCTCATTTCTCTCACTCTCACTGCCTCTCACTATCTCTATCGCTCACTTACTCCCTCGTGTAACTCATCTTAGTCGGCCGCCCCACATTTCGCTTACGCACCTGATTCTCCTGGGCGCCAGCAACCGATGCGCTCTGCTAGACATTCTCATCACTCAGCTCTATTAGGCCAGAGTCCAGGTGGCGATCTGGCCAGCCAGGGATGTATTGCACCCTGGCCAAGTGTCAGCCGTACAGCTGGCTTGAGACCGTACAAGCCGGCCAGTGTGTCCAGGCGGAGAGAGAAACTACCGTTTGAACCATTTCTCATTGCGCCCCACTGGGGACTTGACTTAGATTGGAATATAATAAGCAGCCCCTTTCAGGTTAAGCTGGCTAAATCAGAAAGTTGTTTCTCCCAAATTTATGGTGCACTAAAAGCGTAAGACAACCAATCAAGACAATTTACGGTCTCAGGTTTTAAAGACCACTTTTTATCGGCTGTGTTAAACATTGGCAAAATGCTTCGACGGGGTGCAGAGGGAACTCGAGAAACGGGCTTGCTTATTTCGGCATTTGCCTAAGTGAGAATGAATAGTGAGAAATAAAAGAAATATTTTCGGGTAACATCCATGTAAGAAACGATGCTGGGGGAAATGGAGAAAAGAAATAAATGAAGAGAAATGCGAGATATC